ATTGTACATTTTTAAAAGGGTGAATTTTATGTTGTTTGAATTATGTTAAAAAAAAAAAGCAACCAGAGAGAAAAAGAAAAACTATATGCAGAGTACCACGAGTTATGCTAAGAGCAAACTTCTCAAAAGCAATAACAGGGAGCCATAACGCACTGGGTAATACCTTTAAAGTACTGGAAAAAGTTACTCTGAACATGACACTGTAGAATTATTCTACCTGCTAAATTAGCATTGGAAATGAATGACCAAAATAAAGATGCTTTCAGACCAACTAAAATGCAAATTGAGGCCGGACTCAGTGGCTTAGCCTGTAATCCTGCGCCTTTGGGAGGCTGAGGTGAGTGGATTGCCTGAGCCCGTGGGTTTGAGACCCGCCTGGGCAACTTGGTGAGACCTCATCTCTACAATAAATCAAAAATTAGCCGGGCGTGGTAACGCGCGCCTGTAGTTCCAGCTACTTGGAAGGCTGAGACAGAAGGATTGCCGGAGCCCAGCAGGTCGAGGCTGTGGTGGCTGGGAATGGCCACTGCGCTCCAGTCTGGGCGACAGAGTGAGACTCAAACTCAAAAAAAAAAAAAAAGAAAAAAAAAGAAAATTGAGGTTTATCAGTGTCATTAGATTTTCACTAAAATAATTGCTATGAGATATATTTCGGAAAGAAGAAAGGTATGAGATCCAAGAAGGAATGTTAAGCAAAGAAATTAGAAGCTATATGAGTAAATCCAAGCAAGCAATTACTGGATAAAATGATAATTACTAATTTTGCAATATAAAGTAAGATAGACCTGAAATATTAGACCATAATAGCATGTAAATTGAAAGGGAGTAAAGGTGGGAGGAGTGGAGTAAGAGCCTTCAAAGATCTTTTTATTTGTTCAGAAAAGGGTTGAGAAGCTGGTTAACCTTAGATTTTGTTAAGACAAGAATGCCTATTAAAATTTGAATAATGGGCCACCCCCTCAGGTCCCCTTCTGTTCTGGGAGCTTTTCTGTCCTCTCAATAAATCCTGCTTTCTAAAAAATAAAATAAAAATAAAACTTGAATAATAACTCTCTAGGGGGAAAAAGAAATAAAACAACATGTAAATTCCAAACCAGTGGGACAGAGGTTTAAAAATACTTGACAAATTCTATATAGTATTAGATAGACTATAATGTCTAGTTCAAATTTCTTTGAAGCTCTAAAGTATTGTCCATGGCTTTGTCCAAAGCACCTGAATATGGTACTTCTAAGTTAAAAGTTTGGGAATGATTCAGTGTTTAACGGCCTGCCAGATTTCAACGTGTAATTTATCTATGACTGCATCAAGTTAAAAATTAGTAAATAGTGTTCCATAAACTATCTGGGTTGATTGAAGTTTATTAACTCTTAGGTACCACTGCACTCCAACCTGGGCAATGGAGTGAGACTGCAACAACAACAAAAATAAATAAATAAATAATAATACATTCTGTAATTTGGAGAAAAATAACTTTTTATTTACTTTTTTTAATTTTAAAGATGTGGAGCAGCCAGGCTCGGTGGCTCAGCCTGTAATCCCAGTGCTTTGGGAGGCTGAGGTGAGTGGATTGCCTGAGCCCATGGGTTCAAGACCCACCTAGGCAACTTGGCAAGACCTCATCTCTACAATAAATCAAAAATTAGCTGGGCGTGGTAGCATGCACCTGTAGTTCCAGCTACTTGGAAGGCTGAGGTGGAAGGATCACCGGAGCCCAGCAGGTCGAGGCTGCAGTGGCCAGGAGCGGCCACTGCACTCCAATCTGGGTGGCAGAGTAAGACTCCAACTAAAAAAAAAAAAAAAAAAAGATGTGGAGTACAGTTCAGGGTTACGTATACAAATGTTCATTATGCAGGTACCCTTGTTGATGAGGTGTGCCCCTCCTCCCCTGGCAGATTCCCACTACTGTCAATTCTGCCTTCCCTTACCCTCCAGCAATTTCCCAGCAGTTGGCTACTGCCAATTCTTTTCTTGTAGTATTAGCAATAATTGTTCAAAGTTTGCTTATGAGTGAGAGTATGTAATACTCAGTTCTTTGTTTCTGTGATACATCATTCAGTATTGTAGACTCTAAGTCCATCCAGGTTGCTGTGAAGTTCATAATTTTGTCCTTTATGACTGTATAATAGTCCATCGTGTTATGTACCATATTTTTAAAATCTAGTCCTCTTTGGATGGGCAGTACGGTTGGTTCCATGTTTTTGCTATTGTTAACAATGCTACAATAAACATTAGTGTGCAGGTATCTTTTTCATAGCGTTATTTGAGTTCCTTCGGGTATATTCCCACTAGAAGGATTGTGGAGTCATATGGAAGATCAATTTTTAGATCTTTTAGAAATTGCCAAACTATTTTCCACAGAGGTTTTGTTAGTTTACCCTCCCACCAACAATGTAGAAGTGTTCCCTTTTCATTGCATCCTCTCCAGCACCTGTTTTTTTTTGAGTTATTGATGATGGCTGTTCTGACTGGAGTTAGGTGGTATCTCAGTGTAGTTTTAATTTGCATTTCTTTGATGACTAGTGAGGCTGAGTATTTTTTCATGTATCTGTTGGCTGCTTGTATGTCTTCTTTTGTGAAGTGTCTATTCATATCTTTTGTCCACTTTGTAATGGGGCTGTCTTTTTTTTTTTTGGCATGTTTGAGTTCCTTGTAGGTCCTAGATGTTAGGCGTTTGTCAGGCATACAGTTGGCAAATATTTTTTCCCAGTCTGTGGGCTTTTTCCCTGCTCTCTTGATGGTTTCTTTGACTTTGCAGAAGCTTGTTAGTTTGATGAGATCCCACTTGTCTATCTTATCTCTTATGGCATGGGCACTTAGGGTTTTGATCAGGAATTGGTTCAGTTCCAATTTCCATAAGAGTGTCTTCTGTATTTTCTAAGGGTTTTGTTTTTGTTTTTGTTTTTTTGATTTGGAGTCTCACTCTGTCGCCCAGGCTGGAGTGCAGTGGCACACTCACAGCCACTGCAGCCTCAACCTGCTGGGCTTAGGTGATCCTTCCACCTCAGCCTTCCGAGTAGCTGGAACCACAGGTGTGCACTACCACGCCCAGCTGATTTTTTAATTTATTCTAGTGACATGTTCTCACCAAGTTGACCAGGCTGGTCTCAAACTCCTGGGCTCAGGCAATCCTCTTGCCTTGGCCTCCCAATATGCTAGGATTACAGGCTGAGCCACTGCACCTGGACTCTAAGGTTCTTATTGTTTGAGGTTTTACATTCAGGTCTTTGATCCATTTAGAACTGATTTTTGTGTATGGTAATAGGTAGGGGTCTTGTTTTAATCTTTTGCATGTGGTCAGCCAGAAAAATAACATTTTAAATAACTTGTACATGGTATACTGGGATTGGAAGATTTAGGGATACCAACAGATTTTCAAATATTTTTAATGTCAAAAAACTTTTTATAGCCGGGCTCGGTGGGTCAGCCTGTAATCCCGCACTTTGGGAGGCTGAGGTGAGTGGATTGCCTGAGCCCGCGGGTTCGAGACCTGCCTGGGCAACTTGGCGAGACCCCATCTCTACAATAAATCAAAAAATTAGCTGGGCATGGTAGTGTGCATCTGTAGTTACAGCTACTTGGAAGGCTGAGGCGGAAGGATCGCCGGAGCCCAGGAGGTCGAGGCTACGGTGGCCAGAAGCGGCCACTGCACTCTAGTCTGGGTGACAGAGTGAGACTCCAACTCAAAAAAAAAAAAAGAACTTTTTATTAAAAATTGACACTTTATTTCAAGTATGAAGAATGGTTGCATATGAAAATAAACAATAAATAAAAAGATGAGAAAAAATAAATATGCTTGGTTAATTCAAGGAGAGCTGCAGTCAACCTTGGGAGAAAACTTTGGTTTAGAGCAAAGGCCTTTGTCCTAGGTCTCCTGATGCCTAATGCCCTCAGGAAGAATTCTGACTACCCACTTCTGTGGAAACACATTCCTAGTAGCTATATATGTCTGTGTGAAATTAGCAGCTTTTGGAAGGTTTTGAGCAGAGAAGTGAAATAATCTGATTTATTCTTTTATTTATTTATTTATTTATTTTTGAGTTGGAGTGTCACCTGTCACCCAGACTAGAGTGCAGTGGCCACTCCTGGCCACCGCAGCCTCGACTTGCTGGGCTCCGGCAATCCTTCCGCCTCAGCCTTCCAAGTAGTGGGAATTACAGGCATGTGCTACCACGCCCGGCTGTGATTTATTCTTTTAAAAAATTTGACTTATTTGTGTTAAGAACAGACTGGGACCCCAGGTACAGTGGCTCATGCCTATAATCCTAACATTTTGGGAAGCCAAGACAGGAGGATCACTTCAGGCCAGGAGTTTGAGACCAGCCTAGGCAACATAGCGAGACCTCATTTCTATAAAACATAAAAAAATGAGCTGGACATGGTAGCACATACCTGTAGTACCAGCTCCTTAGAATTTCTTGTACCCAGGAGATCAAGACTACAACGAGCCAAGATCTTACCACTGCACTCCAACCTGGGCAGCAGAGCACAAAATTTTAAATAAATAAAATCTTCAAAATTTAAATAAGTAGGAACAGACTAGAGGTAAGAGATAAGGGTAAACCAGTGAGACTAGTTAGAAGGGTAATAAAATAATCCAGGCAAGAGATAAATATTGAATCAATAATATAATGAATAAGTAATATCTCCCTTTATTGAAGGAAAACATACATTTTCTCCCACTCTTGTTTTTCAGTCTTAACTGGGACATTATCTTGGTTGTTATTCTGAAACAGTATCTGGAAGTGCTTTACTGCAACTGGCTCTAGATTCTTCTCTGTATTGTTTGCATTTAATGAGACAGAAGAGATCTTTTCTTCACTCTAAATTCTAAAAAGTGTCTGCCAAGTGCTAGTCAATCACCAAATGCTCCAAGTTCCTAGGAACAGCTAGACCTCTGGGTTTTGGAGATTTGAGAGGCCTAAGGGATCTGTAACCAGTCATCCTACTCCACACCCTTTGTTGCTTCAAACTGTGAAGCAGGCAGCTTTTGCAGGGGTCAGATTTTCTGAGTGCCTGCTAGTAACTGGAGGGAGGAATTTTTGAAGGTCAGGAACTAGCTACTCTCCAAATACAGCCTCAGTTCAACATTGTTGCAGAGAGTACACAATATACCTTAGCCTTTGCTCCCACTTTTTACTGAAATGCCCATGGTGAAGCATGTAAGAAAATGAAATGCCAGGTCTCACTCTGAGAGACCAAGTGACTGGGGTAGTTTAATACCAGCATTGTAGTAAGCATCTCAGGGCACGTCTGGGTTACCTCCCATCAGCTGAGAGTTAGTATGCTGACTCTGCAAACATCCAGAATTAAGACTTGTCTTTATCTTTTTAGGAACATGGGGAAGTAGCCAGAGCCTTTTGAAATGGAAAAATTAGCCAGTTCCTTGTTTTGGGTGTCAGCTGAGTCATGGCATCTGTAACAGAGTGTCTAACCTTCCCCCCTCCTCCCCAGGCAGCTGTTAAAGATTTGCCAAGTGAGATTATGTGTACCTTTATAAAAAGGCATGTGGCCTGGAAATATGATCTTTAGTGTTTTGGATTTTATTTTAAATTTTAAATATGATTATGGCAAATGAAATTGGAATTAATTCTCTGTCTTCAGAGTTTAAAGAGATTTTCACTTTCATACACAAGGAGTTTAGATATAACAGTTTGATATACCTTACATGTGCCAGATGTACTTGTATCCTCTGTATTTTAATCCTAGTAACAAATCATATTCATTAATTCATTGAACAAATATTTATTGAGAGCCTAAAGTGTACCAGCCAGTTTTCTAGGCAATGAGGAAAACATCAGTAAACAAATACAAAAGCCCTTGCTGTCATAGTGCTTAGAGCCAACAAAATGAATGTGCAAAATTAAACAGTTGTGTATATATTGGAGATTAGTTCCAGGACCCCCATGGATAACAAAGTTGCAGATGCTCAAGCCTCTTATATAAAATGGCATACATTGTATGTGCATATAATTTATGTGTGTCTTCCAGTATACTTTATTGATCTATGTATCTATTTATTTTTAATTAATTTATTAGAGTCAGAGTTTCACTCTGTCACCCAGGTTGGAGTGTAGTGGCATGCTCATGGCCACCCCAACGCTGACCTGCTGGGCTAAGGTGATCCTTCTGCCTCAGCCTTCCAAGTAGCTGGAACTACAGGTGTGCACTACCACGCCCAGCTAATTTTCTGATATATTGTAGAGACGAGGTCTCACTAAGTTGCCCAAGCTGGTCTCGAACCCCTGGGCTCAGGCAATCCTCTTGCCTTGGCTTCCAAAGTGCTGCAATTACAGACTTGAGCCACTGCCCCTGGTCTCCAGTATACTTTCAATCTTCTCTAGATTATTTATAATACCTAATACAATGAAAATTTGTGCAAATAGTGTGGCAGAATGTGGCAAATGCTCAAATATATTTCTTGTATGTTTGAGTGAATGAACGCAGAAACACAGGAGTAGCTGCTTTGGCGTCAGCAGTTGGCCCCGTGGCAATCACCTGGGATGACTAATTGTCTCCCACTAACCCTGTGGCCGAAAGGGGGGCTGGTAGCAGTTAAAGGTCTGAAGACCTGCCAGGTCGGTTTTGTTTAAAAAAAGCCAAGTAAGCTGGGCTCGGTGGCTCAGCCTGTAATCCCGCGCCTTTGGGAGGCTGAGGTGAGTGGATTGCCTGAGCCCGCGGGTTCGAGACCCGCCTGGGCTGTGAGACCTCATCTCTACAATAAATCAAAAAATCACCCGGGCGTGGTAGCGCATGCCTGTAATTCTGGCTACTTGGAAGGCTGAGGAGGAAGGATCGCCGGAGCCCAGCAGGTCGAGGCTGTGGTGGCCGGGAGCGGCCACTGCACTCCAGTCTGGGAGACAGAATGAGACTCCAACTCAAAAAACAAACAAACAAACAACAACAAAAAAAAGCCAAGTAGCCAAAGACTGATGGCTCTCATGGAAATGCAAAAGAGTAACTAATTCACGGACTTATCCAAAACCCCTCTTTTGAAGTTGATGGTTTACAACCCTGCAGTTCCTGGAGACCATTTGTTCTTTGAAAGATCTGATTTTTCTGAACACCACCTTGTAAATTCCAAAGAGAATGTGTAATCATCAACACTACCCCCTCCCTTACCTAAACAAAGGTATAAGAACCTGCTTCTGTTCTGCGGGGCTCGACCTGGATGCGTTAGCCCATCAAGTTCGCCTAGCCCATCAAGTTCGCCAAGCCCTCCGGCGTAATAAAGTTGCCACTTCCTATAATAGTCTCGGTGTCATGGCCTTTTTGTTTCCCGCTACATTAGTTGTTATGCTATATATTTTTAAAATTTGTATTATTTTAAAAATTTTTCTCGCAGTTGATTGAATCCATGGATGCAGAACCCACAGTTCTGGATGCAGTTCATGGATGCAGAACCGTGGTACGTTAGTTGTAAGTGCTAGAGAAAAATATATCAGGAAAGGGGGATAGAGAGTTTGGGAAGGGGTTACAATGTTAAATAGATTGACCAGAGGAAAATTCACTGAGAAGATTGTACTTGAGTAAAGACCTAAAAGAGATAGGGAACTAGCCTGGTGGCTATCTGGGGCAAACATTATAAGCCAAAGAGATACCTACTGTAAAGGACCTGATACAGTAGCATCTTGGCATCTTCTAAGAAAAGTGAGGAGGCCAGTGTAGTTGGAGAGAGAGCCACAAAGTGAGAGGTACTAGAGAATCCAGACCATGTACTGACTTGTAGGCCATTGTAAAAATTTGAACTTGTCTTTTATTCTCAGTAAGAAGGGAGGATTTTAAGTAGCAGAGTGACATGATATTACTTACATTTAAAAAATTTTTTATGGCCGGGTGCAGTGGCTCAAGCCTGTAATCCCAGCACTTTGGGAGGCCAAGGTGAGGGGGTTACCTGAGCCCACGTGTTCGAGAACAGCCCAGGCAACTTGGTGAGACCATATCTCAACAATAAATTAAAAAATCAGCTGGGCGTTTTAGTGTGTGCCTGTGGTTCTGGCTACTTGGAAGACTGAGGCAGAAGGAATCACCTGAGCCCAGCCGGTCAATGCTGGGACGTCTGTGAGCGTGCCAATGCACTCCAGCCTGGGCGATGGTGTGAGACTCCAACTAAAAAAAAAAAGTTTTTATAACTTTATTGAAATATGATGGAAATATAGTAAGCTATACATGTTTAAAACATACAACTTGATAAATTTTGATATATTTTTCTACATCTGTGAAACCATTATTACAATCAATGAATATATGACTGTGATGATGAACATGAAAATAATGAACATATCTGAAACTCTCAAAAGTTTCCTTATAACTCTACAATCCATTCCCTGTCTCTGATTGAGCAACTACCAATCTGCTATGTATCACTATGGATTAGTTAGCATTTGCTAAAATTTTTATCAGTGGAATTGTAACAACCAATTTGTCTTTGCAAGTCTTGCAGGTTAAATTCTTCACTTGTGAGCAACCTCTGGGGGTCAAATTCAAATTTTATTTTCTTTAGTGGTTTTTGTTTTGAGAAAGTTATTATTTCATCTCTCTCCAAATGGATAGATGTTTATTTCAAGATGCATTGCATCCCACTGTCAGTGCTTCAAACCTACCAGCCATTGACTTCTTGAAGCAGTATAAGTTGATACCATGACTCCTAAATGTGCCTCATATCAGCAAACTTTAATTTACAATGCCTGTACAAAGACATATATTTGTGGAAATTCATCAGCCTATTAAAACTGTATGTTTTAAACATGTACAGTTTATTATATCAGTCATACCTCAATAAAGCTATAAAAAATTTTTATTTTTGTTTTTGTTTTGAGTTGGTTATTTGGAAATTGTTGGTGACTCTTCTGCCCAAGCTGTGCTACCTATTCTGTACCGCATAGTTCATGTCACCTTATTGGAACAAATGTAAAGCAAAGTATAAGACTATGAGAAGAATTCATTGCAATATGTTGAATTCATATTTGGCTAAATTTATATGATGTGATCATTTGGAAATCATGCTTTCAGTTCCCTTTTAATTCGTGTATCAGAAAAATTTCCTGTTAACTAATATGTTTTGGTCTTTGATTTTAGTACATTTTAGTATAACTATCCAGAGTCAAATTATTTGATTATTTCCAAGAGGTAAATTGTTCAGTTGATCGACAAAAGTCATACAAGATGTACTCTTTTATGTCTGACTTCTTGTTTTCAGCATAATTATTTTTGAGATTCATCTAGTGTGTGAATCAGTAGTTCATTGTTATTTGTTATTGCTGAGTATTATTACATTGTGTGGATATACTGTGTTTTTGTTTGTTATTTGCCTGTCGGGATATCTGGGATGGTCTCTAATTTTTGGCTATCATGAATAATTAACAGCAGATAGTTGGGTCCTGCTATTTTATCCAATCTGATAATCTCTGCCTCAATTGACTGTGTATTTAGAATGTACACATTTAATGTGATTATTGGTGTGTTTGGGTTTAACTCTATTATGTTGTGTTCTAACTGACCCAACTATACTTGTTTTCTTCTTCTTTTTCTGACTCCTGGTGTGCTATTCTTCATGTTTCTAGTTCTTGGGGTTCATCGATCCTCTGGAATCTGTGGGTTTATAGTTGCCATCAAATTTGGAAATCTTTTGGCCGTTATTTTAAAAACAATTTTAATGTGTCCTTCCTTTCTTTCTGGCACTCAAATTACACATATAGTCTCCTTAAAGTTGTTCCACAGCCCAGTGATACTTAAAAAAAAAATTTTATCATGTATGTGTAAGGCATACAGCATGATGTTATGGGATACATTATATTAATAGTAAAAAGGTTACTATCATAAAGCAGACCCATCATCTCACATAGTTACCCATTTTTGTTTATTTGTTTTTGTAGCTACAATCTACTCATCTAGCATGAATTCCATTTATTTTATTTTTTTAATTTTATTTTTAATTTTGTTATGTGTAGTCCTTATATTGTATGTTAGATCTCCAGGCTTATCCTACATATTTGCTGCATTGTGTCCTCTGACCTATATCTCCCTGTTTCCTCCCTTTCTCAACCTCATCCTACCCCTGGTAACCACTATTTTATTCTCTGTGTATTTGAATTTTTTTTAGATTCCACATGTGAGATCATACAGTATTTTTTTTTTAAATGTGTCTGACTTATTTTA